GTGTGTGTGTGTGTGTGTGTGTGTGTGTGTGTGCGTGCAACATTGGCATTTGTTTACTCAGATCCAAGGCAGGCCAAACCTCTGTGTTACAACCTACAGAAATTCCTGCCGTATACAAAAGACACACATTCGCAAAATATGGGTGCACAAGTCTGTTTTATTTCAAAGTGTTTCAAACTTTACAGTGTTTGCAGACCCAGTGTCCATCATCCCTGCATTTGGCACAGGTGAATTTGTGACATGTTGCACAGGTAAACCTGCTGCGATTTCTGTTGCAGCTCTCTTGCACCTGGCACTGCGTTGTCTTTACAGCCGCAGCAGCTGCAGCAGCTTCAGCAGCTTCAGCAGCTTCAGCAGCCTGCCTCTGTGCTAATATTTCCTTGTGCTGCCTGAATCGGCAGCGAAGTTCCGATTCATGTTCTAGAAGACTCAGAAACAATCTTCTTTTGCCTGTCCGCCCTGTACATGCCTTGTACAAAATGTAGGCATTCACCGCCGCAGGTCCAGCATATTGTAGAAAACTGCTACTGGCCACCTGCATGTTGCTGCTCTTATGAAATACATCCGCACCATTTGGTCCAACACGTCTACACCACACTGTAAAAGCAGAGAGAGAGAGTCATGAGTATGTGTGCTTTTTTTCTATAGGCCTATATAGCACACATCAGAAGACATTGTAGCACTGGTGTAAAATTATACACACATTCACATACCTTCATGTGGTTATAGTCTGTTATTGTGTTGGGTTTCCTCTTTCTGCCGTCACCGATCGTCACGTCTTGGTGCATGGAAATTAGAACACACACAGTCTTGTGTTTTTTGGGGGGGTTTAGGTGCATAAATTGTCAAGGAGACACTGCCGCTTCTAAACACGGAAGTGGAGAGTACCTCTCACTGTGCAGTGTCTTTTGCAAATTGAGGAAGTTCACGACCGACTTTATTCACCGTGCCCAGTTATGTTTTTTTGCGCTGCAACAGTCTGTGCAACAGTGAAGTAAAGAAATTGACCGTTGTGACATTTCTCCCATCATCCAAAAACGGCTCCATCAGTTTCATGACCACGTTCTCTGCCAGCCTCTCTCCCTTGTGACAACTGGGGTCCTTTCCCAAGTAAGGAGATGCACTGCAGACATATTTGGTCTCCAAGTCAGTGGCCATCCAGAACTTGATCCAAAAGTTGTCTGGATTGGTTGCCGTATACTGTGTGAATGGGGAATGCAATGCCACTCCTACACATACACAGTGTTGGGGAGTAACGGAATACATGTACCGCCATTACGTATTTAAAATACAAAATATGAGTAACTGTATTCTGTTACAATTACTGTTTAAAAGGTGGTATTTAGAATACAGTTACTTTGTTGAAATAAATGGATTACACTGCGGTATTTTCCTCTTTCATATTGTGGCGGGTCAGGACTGTTTGGGTTTTTGTTTGACATGTTCTGTGGTGCCAGGCGGCAGCGTTACGGTTGCCATGGTTACAGGGTGACGCACTCTCTCTGCGTGTTTCCTGGGTGAGAGAGCGCCTTTTTGTTGTTGTTGTTGTGCTAAGCTAACAGGCAGAATGCTACAGGTATAGCCCTAAAGAATGTAGCCTCATGGGCAGTGTAGTCCGTGCTGCAGGGAGAATGGACTGCCATACCCGTTATGTGTCTGTGAGCGCGAGGAGGGAGAAAAAGGAAAGGTACGAGTTGTCACGGAGCAGAAACGGGAGCTGGAAGCATGTAAATATAATAATAACCGCTGCAGCCAAATAGAGTGCCTGACGAGCCCAGTTGTAAGTAAGCTGTTAAGACTCGACTGTACGCTGTGTTCGTGTTTTCCTCCGAAACAATAAGTTTCATTGGAGCAGCCTTTCAACGCCTCTCTTTGTCTCTCATTAGCAAACTTGACCCAGACAACAAAGTAAAGTTATTTTTCGGCTATGAGCCCAACACAGAACCTGACGTTTGAGCTGCGGACCTTCAGTAATAGTAATAAATCACATTCATGTAGCTGTAAACAGCATGATAATATGTTAAGTAATCCAAAGTATTGAGAATACGTTACTCTCATTGAGTAACGTAACGGAATATGTTACAAAATACATTTTGGGGCATGTAATCTGTAATCTGTAGTGGAATACATTTTAAAAGTAAGGTAAGGTTTAGTAAATCTAGTGTTATTGTGTTTAAATACTGAAAGTACGATTAATAACTTTTAATTGTACTTCCCTAACAAGATAATGAAATTAATGTTAAAACCGTAACTGATCATTTGTTGCAGTTTTAGAGTGACAAAAAGTGCGAAGGATGATTACTAGGGATGGGTATTGATAAGATTTTCACGATTCCGATTCCATTTTCGATTCTGTTTAACGATTCGATTCTTTATCGATTCTCTTATCGATCCTTATTTTTAAAAAAGGAGAACACTAAGGTCGATTAGCTTAGAACTTTGTTTTATATCTTCTCTTTGAACAAGATAGAAATTTAGGAGTAACATGGCCTTACAAACCCAACAGTGAGATCTTAAGAGATCCACAGCCTACGGCTCTTCAATGGGGTGTCACAGGGTCCCCAGGAAATAAAATATTGTAAATGTAAAATAATAAAATAAATATTCTTCCGTAGCAATTACACAAGAATATCCAGTAATGTCCCTGCCTACAATTAAACACATTCACTTACCATAAATCGGGGGCATCTGCTGTGGCAAGCGGCTGTGGCAGCGGCTTGCTTGCACCCATTTGCTACTCTCGTCTGATCTCGGAAGCTAAGCAGGGTCAGGCTTGGTCAGTACTTCAATGGGAGACCGCCTGGGAATACCAGGTGCTGTAAGCTTTTGCACTTCAATACACAAACTGCAGAGGGCGCTGCTGCTCACTCCCTCCATCAATAATAATAAACACTATTCTTCATGATAAACGGTCAGACAATAAAAACGCAGATTTATCCAAAAAAAAATTAATAGTTATAGTTAATAGCAATATTAAAAAAAGACCTGTCAGCAGATTTGGGCTGTAATTAACAAACAAAAACAAAGAACATTTTCTGCATAGACATCCAAACAGGAGTACTTAAAAGTTTCAGTGACAACATGATGCAGAGTTTGAGCTCTGA